CACTCCCTCCTTTCCTTTCCCACTGTCTACCTCTGTATCACAATGGCCTCATAACTCGTCTCCCTCCAGGATAAAAGTATAAATTTAGGTACCTTCCTCATAGTCCCTTCGGTTCCTACTGCAGTGTGAGTCTTAATCACCCAGTAGCAGACCAATTGAGTCACTCTAGAAAAAGGCACATGAGCACACATACATGCAAAGATTTTTCATGTAATTTCAAGCTCATTCCCAGCCCCCCTGATTAATCACGTTGCCTTACTCCCTCAGCTCTACCCCAGGCATCTCCAACGGACTCCTGTCCTGAAACTCCTTCATCATATTTCAAGGCTCAAAAACTGTGGGTGGTTTCCACTGCCAAGTGCATGAAAGAGAAACTCATAGCCCCAGGCTCTCCTTGCTTCTCTCCTCCAAGTCCAGCTCCAGTATCCCGGGTGATCACTGCCATCCCTCAAATGTGGCTTTTGCCCCCTCAGCTCCATACGCTAACCAGGCGTCCTCAAACTATGGCCCGCGGGCCACATGCGGGTGTTTCTGCCTGTTTGTTTTTTTACTTCAAAATAAGTTATGTCCAGTGTACATAGGAATTTGTTCATAGTTTTTTTTTATCTATAGTCCAGCCCTCCAACGGTCTGAGGGACAGTGAACTGGCCCCCTGTTTAAAAAGTTTGAGGGCCCCTGTGCTAAACACCAGATGCCATCTCCCGCCAGCCTCTACCCATACACCAGCCCAGCCCTCTCTGCTTGAACAGGCGCCATAACACAACTCACTCCCCTCCCACATACAGTCCACCCCTCCTTGGAACTGTCCTAGTGTTAAAGAAATAAACATAAACAAACTCTTTTTCAAGTGAAAACAAAACTTATCCTATCTCCCTCTAACATCTGTGGTATTTGAAGCAACAGGCAACAAATCTAACCTGATTCCATACAACCTCCCCTTTCTGCTTGCCCTTCCTGGTGTACCATGTCATTTTCATGGTGCGGCACCTAGAACCGAGCATAAGTCTCTGTTTGATAGAGACGGTGCTTTTGTCCCTGACGACAGTGTGAGCACAGTGAGTCAGAAGTGCAAGGCTCTTCTCTTCGCTGCTCCGTCTGGACACTGGTCTGCCAACCAATGCCACCCAAGATTGATGGACAATCGCGTAACACTGCTGACTTGTATTAAGGTTGCAGGACACTACAACTCAAGAGTCTGTTGCATGTGGGCTGTATTTAAACCAAGTTTCTTGGAACTGAAGGCAGCATTTTACTTCAGCCTTATTCCATATTGCTTACTAGAATCAGCCTATCAAGGTCTTTTGCTATCCCGATCCTATCTTTCAACATCGCTTGTCTCTCCCAGTCTTTTGGCATCCAAAATATAATTAACTTACCATCGGTGTCCTTTTTCAGTTTAGCAATTAATATGTTGACCAGGACCAGGATAAGTGTCTGTCAACTCTATTCTTCCCTATCAATATTCTTCAAATGTCCAGACTATTCTATCCCCTAAGCCAGGCGTCCTCAAACTACGACCCATGGGCCACATGCCGCCCACTGAGGACATTTATCTGGCCCACCAGGTGTTTTTGCCGCCACTGCCTGTCCTGCTTAGCAGCCGACTCGTCTTGGGCCCACAGTGCGCATGTGTGGAATGTCCACCACACTCTCCAATGGCCCTCCAACGGTCTGAGGGACAGTGAACTGGCCCCCTGTGTAAAAAGTTTGAGGACCCCTGCCCTAAGCACAGGGGTCTTAATTTTGATTGTACATAAGAATCACTTGATATGATTAATGAAAATGTAGCTCCTGGGTCTCAGCTCCAAAGATTCAGTAGATGCGTAGTAGGGCCCAGGAACCCAGATTATTAATGAGCTAAATCAATCTAACATTGTGGTGAAAAGACCACACTTTAAAAATAGTACACTTAAACTTTTTTGATCATATTAGCAATATCAATGTCTCCCTCCCCTGACCCGCCCCCCCCCCCCCTCCCCTGCCTGGCTCTTATGGCGACACTAAACTCTACGACAGCAAGAATCCTATCTGTCTTGTTCTCCACTCTATCTAGTGCATAGCATGTTTCTGGAATATTAGGGGTTCAATAATTATTGTTTAAGTTAATGAACAAATGTAACCTTTATTGTCAATACCACTCATGTAACACAGGAATGCATTAACCCACTTGGTATTAGCTGAACTCTTAAACTCAATTATTAATATCCCAGAAATGGCAAACATTATGTAAAATATAGATTTGTATATTGTGCAGCACCTTAAACATGGAAGATTGCTGCACAAGTATTTATTGAAATAGGTAAGTGTTGAAGAAAATAGAGATCCTAGAAACAAGGATATGTGAGAATTTGGCATATGACAGAGTTAACATAAATCTGTGCTTAAAGAATGGAATATACAGGCCGGGCGTGGTGGCTCCCGCCTGTAATCCTAGCACTCTGGGAGGCCGAGGCGGGCAGATTGCTCGAGGTCAGGAGTTCGAAACCAGCCTGAGCAAGAGCAAGACCCCATCTCTACTATAAATAGAAAGAAATTAATTGGCCAACTAATATATATAGAAAAAATTAGCCGGGCATGTGGCACATGCCTGTAGTCCCAGCTACTCGGGAGGCTGAGGCAGAAGGATTGCTTGAGCCCAGGAGTTTGAGGTTGCTGTGAGCTAGGCTGATGGCATGGCACTCACTGTAGCCTGGGCAACAAAGCGAGACTCTGTCTCAAAAAAAAAAAAAGAATGGAATATACAATAAAAAGTACTGGAAAACAACCTATTAAAAAAGGTATAAAATTAGGTCCCTTCCTTCACTCCATATACCATACACAAAAATAAACTGTAAACATTAAAATCTAAATATGAAAAGCAAAACTGTAAAATATTCCACGAAGAAAAGAGACTCTCTTCATTACATGGGGCCTTAGAAAAAATTTTAAGATAAGAAATATAAAGCTTTTATAAAACTTTCAAGAAAAGATGATACAATTAAATATTTTAAAATATTTTTTTAAGAAAAAGATAATAAACAAGAAAAAGGATATGGCCCAGAATGGGAAAAGGTATTTATAACACGTAACGACAAAGATTTTGCACACAGAACATATCCAAAAACTTCAAAAATCAATTATAAAAAGATAATCCAACAGAAAAACAGGCAAAGAATATGAACAGAGAATTCATAAAAGAGGAAGACATTAGTCAGGGAAATGCAATTAAAAAGAAACCAAAAACTCTAAGATTGGCAAAACTTAGAATGTTCGGGTAGAGATGTGAGGAAACAGGAATGTACATGTTGCTGTTTTATCAGCTGGTGGAATTCCTCTAGAGGGCCTCATAAAACTAAAAGGAGTCCCTACTTCAGGACCCAGCAAATGTCCCACAGGTACACACCCAATGAGACATGTGCACAGTTGTTTACTGCAACATTGCTTTTTCATAGTGAAAGAATGCAACCCACCTAACTATCCATCTACAGGGGAATAAACTGTGGTTTAGTCTTACAACGGGAGTGAAAATTCATCGCCAGTTCAAGTGAATGAACAAAATTTACATGGATGGTTTGCCAATAGATAAAGAGGTGAAGGTATGTACTATAGGATATCATGTAAGAAAAAAATATAAAACAAATTTTTGCTTGGAAACATTTTTCAACAATATGGTACATTTTTTTTAACCTTTTTTTTTTTTTGAGTCAGAGTCTCACTCTGTTGCCCAGACTAGAGTGCCGTGGCAACAGCCTAGCTCACAGCAACCTCAAACTCCTGGGCTCAAGCGATCCTCCTGCCTCAGCCGCCTGAGTAGCTGGGACTACAGGCATGCACCACATGCCTGGCTTATTTTTTCTATATATATTAGTTGCCAATTAATTTCTTTCTATTTTAGTAGAGACAGGGTCTCCCTCTTGCTCAGGCTGGTTTCAAACTCCTGACCTTGAGTGATCGGCCTACCTTGGCCTCTCAGAGTGCTAGGATTATAGGCGTGAGCCATTTTTTAACTTTTTATTGTGACAATTTTCAAGCACAAAATTAAATTAAATTAAATTAACAGTGTAATGAGACTCCCTGTGCTCATCACTTTGCTTCGGTAGTTATAAATATTTTGCCAGACTGGCACACTGGTTTTCTCTGTGTGGCCTTCCCTCTGAGCTGGGAAGACTTCAGAAGGGACTGATAAAATGTTTGAGATGAGAAAATAATCAGGACTATAAAAGCAAGAATGACGCAGATGCCACCTGATTTTCTAGAAGGTACAAATCGAGAAATCTAAAAGACACAAAATATCAGGTCTCAAAGAATCAAAAACACTAAAACTGTACTCCCTAGTCCTTAGCATTCTTTTTTTTTTTTTTTTTTTTTTTTTTTTTTTTGAGACAAAGTCTCACTCTGTTGCCCAGGCTAGAGTGCCATGGCATCAGCCTACCTCACAGCAGCCTCAAACTCCTGGGCTAAAGCAATCCTCCTGCCTCAGCCTCCCAAGTAGCTGGGACTAGAGGCACGTGCCACCATGCCAGGCTAATTTTTTCTATTTTTAGTTGTTTGGCTAATTTCTTTCTATTTATAGTAGAGACAGGGTGTTACTCTTGCTCAGGCTGGTTTTGAACTCCTGAGCTCAAGCAGTCCTCCCGCCTCGGCCTCCCAAAGTGCTAAGATTACAGGCGTGAGCCACCATGCCTGGCAGGTCCTTAGCATTCGTAACTAAATACACTGAGGTCTCTTCGGCCTGTATGGGGACATGATTTCACCCTCAGATGTGTTCCTTGGGGAAGCGCTGACATAGCCCCTCTTCTCTTCTCCCTAAATGCAGAGTTTGTTTTAACAACAGGGTAGCAAGTGGCTTCCGTAGGGCTCTCCTTGCCCCTCGTGTCACCTCGCTCACTCCCACAGCGCTGTCAGCACAGACAGGGAAGCCTACGGCCGGCTCTGACACCCCAAGCACCGGGGAGCAGGAAGGGGCTGGAAGAACTGGGGAAAAGAGCCAAACTGCGCAGTTTGGGGAGGGGGACACCTACCGCTTGAAACAGTGCGCCGCCGTGAGCACCCAGCAGCTGCTCAGGAGCGTGGCCCCGCAGAGGAGCCTGCCGTCCCCGTGGGGTGACTTCAGCCGGAGGGAAACCTGCCAAGGCCAACCGCCCCTAAGAAGGAAGTGAGCCACACAGCAAGGTCAGTAAAAAAGGAGAGAGAGAGCGAGAAAGAGAGAAGACCACCAGTTAAAGCAACGACTTGAACAAGGAACAGATACAAAAGGGACTCTAGCACAGGGGTCCTCAAACTTTTTAAACAGGGGGCCAGTTCACCGTCCCTCAGACCGCTGGAGGGCCATTGGAGAGCGCGGCACACATTCCACGCATGCGCACTGTGGGCCCGGGACCAGTCGGCTGCTAAGCAGGACAGGCAGCGGCAGCGAAAACAACCTGTGGGCCGGACAAATGTCCTCGACAGGCCGCAGGTGGCCCGCGGGCCGTAGTTTGAGAACACCTGGTCTAGCATGTAAGATCCCTTCCCGCCTTGAGAAAGGTGTCCCAGCAACTCCGGCCTGCCGGGTCCCAGCAGCTGGGCAGACTTGCTGGCAGGCATCGGCAAGCTTCCCGCCTGCCCCTGACACTCTCGGAAACAAGCGGAGTCTTTGTCACACTTCATGACTCGACGTGTCCTTTCTCTCCTCACTTAACCCCTCAAGCAGTCTGAAGCAGTATCTAATAAACAAAGTGCTGGTTTTCCTTGGTAAACTCAACAAGTAAACAATTGATACTAAAATGAATCAAGTCTGAAACAAATATATTCTAAATTAAATGAATCTTTGTCATGAGACATTTTTTTCAGGTCTCTTGTTAAACTATTTTGTCTCTGCCGCGTGACTTTTCAGCAACTCGTCTGATCTCAGGAAGCAGAGGACAGTGGTATAATAAGAACAGGGTCTATATGCATTAAACATAGGTCAAAGGACAGTGTAAATACCAGTGTAGTCTGCATTTAGTTTAGAAGATAAAATGAATAAAACGAATCCCTTATATAATAACAGAACATCCCTTGTTTGTTAACACTATTGTATATAAATAATTCTTTAATATGGGAAATTTCCTTTGAAGAACATTTTACCTTAAAGAATTTTTCCCACCAATGATCCGCTTCTGCCGACGGTGCAGCAATCTCAAACCACAGACGGACGAGAGGGGCCCTGAAGCAGCAAGAGGTCATGAGTTAGACCACCACTGCGGATGGAGGGGTAAAGACATGAGTGGCATACTTCCCGGATGCTTCCTCCTCTAGGTTAAAAGCCCTTCCTCTGGGAGGCCGAGGCGGTGGATTGCTCAAGGTCAGGAGATCGAAACCAGCCTGAGCAAGAGGGAGACCCTGTCTCTACTAAAAATAGAAAGAAATTAATTGGCCAACTAAAAATATATAGAAAAAATTAGCCGGGCATGGTGGCACATGCCTGTAGTCCCAGCTACTCGGGAGGCTGAGGCAGGAGGATTGCTTGAGCCCAGGAGTTTGTGGTTGCTGTGAGCTGGGCTGACACCACAGCACTCTAGCCTGGGCAACAGAGTGAGACTCTGTTCCCCCCCCCTTCCAAAAAAAAAATCCCTTTCTCTGCAAATTATAGGATAATTTTTCCTATAATGAAAATAAAAAGTTTCCTCATTCGACCAAACAGTAGTAAGTTGCAAGCACATGAGAAATTTTATGAGGTTTCCCATTATTCAGCTCCAAGGGGTTTCAGAGGCTTCTGAATTATGTGACCCTGCCCAGAGCATCGTCCTGTTTAGTACCTACATGTCCTGCTGCCGACTACAGAGGTTGTCTTGGAGTTCAGAAATGTTAAACAAAGTAAGAGAATTGCAAAGGCAGTAATGGTCTCAATTACTTACTTTCCAAATACAACACTGTTCCGAGCCATACATCAAAATGTAACTCAGAGGAGCAAATCACATTCCCAGGATAGAATTCTGATCTGAATTTACATTTACTCGGTGTATTAACATATGAAAAGGGTTTGCTAAGCCAATTTAAGTGGTAAACTGTGTTTAAGGGTATACAGTCAAACTTCCCAAGGTAACAGACTTATGTCACAAACATACAAAAGAGAAGAGTTAAATTTAAACTACATAAAAGGTGCTGTACAAAAGAAGGGCAAATATAACAGGTATGACTAATCTTTAAAATAATTTTAGAAAGTAGGAGAATGGATATAGAGGTGCTTTGCTTCTTTGGTTAAGTATATGTGTATCAAGCATAGATATATACTCTTTCTATTTGTGTAAGGACAGAAGGATGGGAATTTTGCCAGAACATGAAGACCTAATCAGCACTAATGGTCCCCATAATACTCAGGTAGATGAGAGCCCAATAGGGAATTAGCAGTAGTTATTTCTTGATGGACAAAGAGGTTCGACAATGTGTACCAAGATGATTATTTGCCAATGATCTCAGAGGCATGCTGTCAAATTTTAACTTCATCTCTTAGATATGAGTCCCTTAGATGACACTGCATATTATAGAATATTAGAAAAAACATAAGTTTCCAATAGTGCTCCAAATTGGCTCAATGTATATGATGCCAAGAAAAGGAATGATGTAAGAGTGACCAAGCAAAACTGAAGTTTACATCATTCTGGGACAAAGCACCAGATTGCAAGAAAATAAAATGTATTTAAACCCATAAACTGTTATAAAAAATAAATCCTAGCACTCTGGGAGGCCGAGGCGGGCG